GTCGTAAGGATATCTTCTGGAGGTTACTCTTGAGTCCGTAGAACTTCTCGATGTATCTATATGTGGCACAGAGAGCGGTCGGTCAGTCGGGCGCCTGCTATGATCATTTCCAGGCTGGATAGGGATGTATCGACGCTGACCTTCTCGTGCGCACGAGGTCCTTTGCTTGTATCTTGGCGGCGCCCAGCTGTCCCTTCTGGGCACTCTGTTTGATCTGGCTCACGAGCTGCTTCTCCTGTCTCTCCAGCTTGACCTTTTGTTGGTCGATCTCGCGGATTGCTTTATCGAGGAGGCGTTGGTTCTTGCGCAGACGCTCGGCTGGCGTCATCCGCTTGCCGAAAGCCCATTCTAAGATCTACGGTGCCGGCCATTGTCAGCAAATTATCTCGTCGGGAGCGTGGTCGACGATGATGAAGGGGCGGAAGTGTCCATTCTCACATTCATTGTTGTTTATGTGGTGATGTGGTGATGTGTTGATGTGACGAGATAGCGAGCTGACCGAAGTTGTCTGACCTGAACAGGAACGAGATGACCGAAGCGCGAATGATGTGGACGGATGATATGGAATGTGGGAGCCTGGAAAGCTTGGGGACGATATCCGTTGCCTTGTTGATGATGTAGGCGGTCTTTTTTGGTTTGGTTTCGGCGGCTATGGGGAGGAACACACCTACATGTACCTACCGAGTGTACCTACCTGTCTGCGCTATCTGCGCGGAGATACGGGGCACATATCACTACGCACTGTACACGGTACCTGACGCGAGGTACCTATCCGTACTTGAGATACCGCTAATTATCAGATAGAAGGCCCTAAAAGACAGCTGCACACCAACATGTACCTACTTACCTTAGTCCTTGTCCACATGTACACGTGTAGCTTCCATGGCAATTCAAGATGACATAAAGTGAGGTACCCATCGCCAATCATGAAATAGAGCTACAGGTAGTGTAGGTACTTCTAAAAGTATAAGTGACGATTAGGTAAGGTAGGGTTAGCCGATCCACGCAGATACACTACCATAGGTCTCCGCTCTTGCCGCCCAAGCGGGTTCCGTTCCCTCAGTGGAGGCAAATATATCGATCGATAACTCATCGGGTCACCGTCGTAATTTTTCTCGGGCCACTCTCCCACCCTCCTCGCGACAACATCCACCTTATCCACTACCACCACCTAACATCTACCCAGTAGTCAGCAATTGCTCTCACCTACGCCACCGCCCGCCCTTATCGAGCCCTGCCACGCCGGCCCTCCTCCCCACGGTTCATGGATCCCGACCTCGAGCATTGAGTATTCGCCACGATTGCCATGAACCAGGAATACTTCCCCCCCATGTCCAAGGGCAAGTCCGCTGCGAGGGCGGCGAGACAGAATAGCGACGACACGGCCGACGATGCCCCACGAGACCCTTTTGCACCCGTCACGCCACCGATGAACGGGTCCGCCGGTGGCCGCCCGGCCTATGCCACTGTTGGGAGCGGCTCGACCTCCTTCCATGCCGCGAGATTGCAGTCGATGCTCGACCGTGACTCGGGCTACGGCGGCAGCATCGCCGGTGATGAACCCGGCTCCTCTAGGCTGCCTCTGGGCTCGCCCCGAACCGATCCGAGCCTCGCCGGCGACACCATTCTCACACGTCAGTCCGGCAGTCCCGAGTTCGATCAGCGGACCCAAGTCACCGCCATCTCGCAGCTGTGGTACAATCAGCAACGAGTCGCTCTAGGTCGCGCCATCAACAGGGTCGTCGACCTTCTCCAGGGCCTCCAAGAGACAAATGCTACTTGGCCCGCTCACTACCCTTCCGTTCAACGTGGCGACGCACCTGCGTCCGAACGCCCGGGCCCGGGCCCTGGCTTACACCGGACATTCTCTGTCGCTGCCGAGCCTACACATGCGCCGTGGCCGCCACGTCGGTCCCTGACCGGCCTCTCCGACCACGAGTCTGCCGAGTCCAGCAAAGATGCCGAAAGCCCCACCAATACCCCAGAAGCCCCTCGATTAATAACACCCCAGATTGCACAGGAATTCTCTATTCTCAAACTCGATCTCAAGCTGGGGGCTCTGCACCAGTCCGAACTCGTCCACTCGCTGGAAAAGAGCTCTGTTGCCTCCTTACTGGACGGCAAGATTCGCACGAGCATCAAGCACCTGATATCACTACGAGAGCGAATTGATGACACCTCGAGCAAGGTTTTGATCACCGGAGATTTGAATGCTGGCAAATCAACCTTTTGCAATGCCCTCCTACGACGCAAGGTGTTACCCGAGGACCAACAGCCCTGTACAAGTATCTTCTGCGAGGTCCTAGATGCACGGGAAAATGGAGGCCTGGAGGAAGTTCATGCAGTACACATGGACACCATATATGACCGACACGACGAGTCCACCTACGATGTCTTCCCCCTCGCCAAACTCGAAGCGATCGTCCTCGACAACACTACCTACATGCAATGCAAAGTTTACGTCAAGGATGTTCGTACCGTGGACGAGTCGCTGCTCAACAACGGCGTGGTGGACATCGCCCTGATCGATGCCCCTGGTCTCAACTCGGACACGACCCAAACCACGGCCATCTTTGCTCGACAGGAAGAGATTGACGTAGTGGTCTTCGTCGTCTCTGCCGCTAACCACTTTACACAGTCGGCTAAGGAGTTTATTTGGGCAGCAGCAGCAGAGAAAGCATACATATTCATGGTTGTCAATGGGTTTGATATGATTCGTGACAAGGAGCGATGTCAGAAGATGATCCTGGACCAGATCTATGGTCTGAGTCCCCGCACATTCAAGGAATCCTCAGAATTGGTCCATTTTGTGTCAAGTAATGCTATTCCAATGGCACACTCACCGCCGGGTGGAGGTGGTGGAGGGGACGAGCCCGGCGATGATCCCAAGGGCAAGGGAAAGGAGAAGGAGAAGATCGAGGACTTCCAGGCGCTCGAACAATCTTTGCGACGCTTCGTCCTGGAGAAGCGGGCACGGTCTAAACTCACACCTGCCAAGACCTATCTCATGAATATTCTCAACGATCTGCATGTCCTCGCCACCGTCAACACCGAGGTAGCCCAGTCCGAGCTCGACCGCGTGACGAAGGATTTGGAAGAGATTGAGCCACAACTGGAATCTTCCAAGAAGGCAAAAGCGGAAGTTGGCGATGAGATTGACCAAACCATCGAGGTGACCTGCAAGGATATATACGACCACGCAAGAGATACCCTGAACTCGGCTATCGCTCATGTTGGCGACAGCACTCTGGGCGTGCCGTATCCTGGACTATTCGGCGTATTTAACTTCGCCGATGATCTCAAGGAGGCGATGCTAAATGAGATATCGACTGCCGTCACAAGCTGTGAGGAGCAGGCCCGTTCCAAGACGGTCAGCGGCGTGAATGCTATCAAGCAACTCGGCATTCTTCACCTGGGTAACGAATATCACGATCTCAGCTTCCGACCCGATATCATGTTCCGAAGACGACGAGACATTCTGGCCAAGGAGATCGACCTACCCACTGAGCTCTGGGATCTCGTTGACTGGTCGACTCTCATGCAACGCCAGGAGAAGGTGGCTGGTACCGGCATGGCTTTGACTCTGGCAACGGCTGTAGGCGGGCGATTAGTCGGCGGGTCTAGCTGGGTTGACCACGCACTGAGCGCTGCGAAGATTGTGGGAAATGATAACCTCAGGAAATTGATTATCCCGACTATTGTCCTTGCCGGTAAGTAGCGTTCCAGGTACTGTGAATGCGTCGGTTCGCTAACCATCGGCCCTTTAGTTGTGTCTGCTGCTGCATACGTTCTACAGCAGATTCCGCAGTCACTGCCACACAGCTTGTCAGCCAAGCTATCTGCCCAGCTGGAGTCGATAGACTACGTGCACGCAAACAGCACGCGCATAGCCAGCTCGGTGCGCAAAGTCCTCCGGTATCCCGCCGACAATCTCCGCGTGGGCCTGACACGCTCGGTCGAACAACTGGGCTCGCGCAGAGACGAGACCCTCAAGACGCGCATAGAGAGCGAGGTCGCCTATAAATACTTTAGCAACCTCGTGCGCAATAGCGCGCACCAGCGAACCCTGGTGGCGGATGTGGACCTCGATGCGCATCCACAGGCAGCCGCGACATGATTGTCGCTTCAAGTCGAATGAAATGGAATGATGGTTGAAATGAGGCGGACGGGCATTTGGGCGGCGTTTGGCACAAAATATGTTACGTTGAAACTTGGCGCAAATACCACTCTGATTAAGTCTCTTTTTTTTTTTTTTTTTTTCTCCTTTCTCTATCTTGGTGTCTCGTCCCCTCAACCTTTCAAATACACCGGGCATTTCAAATGATGCTTCTCCAGGAAAGACAAAACATAGAAACGAGGGCCGATGAATGACGCTCAAGAGGTTTACGGGATTCAACAGTCCTCTTTTCTCATTTGTTCTTATCAACGTTCTCCTCTCGTAACTGTACCTAGGTTAAATGAAACAAACCTCTTACGATTTCGATATGTTTTATTCCTGAAAGTATTAAGAGTATCTTCAACGTTCATTTGATTGATTCCGATCTCCGCTCTGCGTGTGAGATAGAGAGTGTGATCTGCTGTTGGTAGTAGATCGAGCGATAATATTTCCAGTTCTCTACCTATTTAAGTACCTGTGTTTTCCTCTATCCACTTGCGACAATATTTGTACGCGTAATGAAGTTCGGCATAAGAATTGTGTAATTTTTGACTTCATTTTCAGGGGAGCAGTGCCGTAGTTACGAACAAAGCCCGGTTTTCATAGAAATAAGAAATGTTACATCTACGTATAATTACGTTATCTAATTCAGGCTGCCGGCGTGTGGGGCTAAGGCTAATTTAGGTGGTTTCCTAGACGGCAGAGGTTAGTCGGGCTAAGAAAAAGCAATTCTCATGTTTAAGTAGCTTGCAAGCAATAATACGATGAGGCAGAAAGGGAGAAAAGAAAAGGAGAAAAGAAAAGGAAAGAAAAAAAAGATGCAGAAGCGAAAATAAAAGCAAATCGATTCCGGCCGGACTCGAACCGACAATCTCTAGAGAATCAGATATTATAATATCACCGAAATCTAGCGCCCTAGCCATTAGGCCACGGAACCTCGCCACATGGCAATCCTGGAGTTCAATTCGCTGGGATCCACCACGTTGGGCATGGTGTCGTTGTTCGGTCTTAGGGTTGACGGCCTGCGTTTAGGTGTTAGTTAAAACAGAAATTAGTAAGTTCTTAGAGCTATCAAGCCTAAAGATTATTGTCGAATGAAATTTACATGGCCTAGAAGCTTGTACGATTTTATCCGATTGGTAAATTAATTCTTCGCATGTTTAAACAAGAGGTAGCTGTTGTTTTTACTCGTATGTGGTACATTGGTCTCTTCTTTTTACAAGGCAAGGTAAGATTAAACCAAGGTAGGAATGTCATACTCAACCACCAATCAAACGCCCAGTTGCAGCGTCTCATTACCGTATTCAGCAAGTGTCTACTTGCCTATTTGCACAAAGTACCTAAGACCTGTAAGTGTTCTAAGCAAGTGATGACATCACCAGTCTCATCACCAACGCCTCTCGTCATCGCTGTGCGACAGAGGTATCTAGGTTAGTTATTTGACCGAGGCAACAAGCCGGAGCAGAAGGTCAGATTTGCTATCGCATGCGTTCTGCCTTGTTTGACCCTGGGACTAACGTGACGTATGTCGTGTCGTCTCGTCATGATAAAACTGCGTATCTTAGACGTAGTGTAGATGAGGATACACTTGTTCACTTACACAGACAGTTGAAACAACATTCTCACGTCTACCTACTTACTTACCAACTTATACACATAATCCATATTCAATTTATCCTGTTCGACACCAGATACCTACTTAAGTTGCTTATAACTTAGGGAGCTACCCGTCAGGCAAAAACAACCCCCTCGTCAACCAATATCTAGAGAATTCCCGAATTCGCAGAGCAAATCGAAAACATGGGCGTGGCATCCGGAATCGCGCACATCTTCCAGTCTATCCTGGAGACCATCCAGGGCATATTCGCCGCCATCTTCCACATGTTCGAGTTCGCGCTCCGCAGCGTCATGAGCGTGTTCCAAGGCTTCGTGAACTTCGTCGAGGGCACGCTGGGTTTTGCCATTCGTGAGTTGCCCCTCATTGCTCTTGTCCTTTTTATTTTGTCTCTCCCCGATGTCGGGTTAAGGTGGTCTGTTGTTCGGTCGACCAAGATCGGGAACATCAGCATCAACGTCAGTGGCTAGTTACTAACATGCACACCCTTAACTCTAGACAATTTCTTCATCCTCGGGACGGTCGCGGCCGCTATTCTAGCCTACGTGCTGTATACGCAGCGCCAGGGCACCGCGCCCGTGAGCCGGAGGGTCAAGAATTAGCTTTCCTTTCCTTTGCTGCCCGGCTTGTTTCTTCGTGCTACAACCTCGGCACTGTACTTCTATGACGACGACCACGGTGTCATGTTTTTCATGTGTCCCTTTTTACAAATACGGCGATACGGGATATTGGAACAGGATGGACGGACAGACGGGCCAAGCTGGCATGGGCTCTCCCTTACACACGACACGACAATACATACATAAGTACATACTTCATCATTCATACCCAAGTTTGAACAAATAAACGAATGAAATCACAATACCATTCCGTGATTGTTGATAGCTGAGACTGCCGGAGGTAACGATGCGATCGAGACTATAGGTCTCAATTTAGGTTCTATAAACTAATCTTCAATGTAAACTGTTCAAGTAGTCCATTCTGTGTAATCATACCCCGTAAACTACCCAGTAATCCATAACCTGCACCGTCTACACCTCATCCACGCATACATTCTACATAACCTATACAAGCCAGTAGCCTATGAAACCCCATAATACCCGAAGCTTGAAACCTCGAAGCTGGAAAGACAAAAAAACAACAGGCAAGTCTAGAAATCGAAGTTCATTCAATCCGATACATTCCCACACTTGGAACAAGCTCTCGCCTTAATCCCCGCACCGGCGACCTCTTTCCCGCGGCGTCGTCCAGCCACCGCCATACTAGCCGTATTCACCACCCTCGCCCTCGGCTCCGGCTCCGGCCCCGGCTTGTCGTCCGCGTAACAGAGATCAACGAAGGACTCCTTCGCCTGTGCCTGCGGCGGCGTCGGCGTTCGTGGTCCGACGACACGGCGCCAGACGGCACTGATCGGCGACGGGCGACGCCTGGGCGGCGTCAGGGGGCTCGGGGCCCGTCGAAGTCCCGCATGCTCTCGCTCTCGTTCTCGCTCTCGTTCTCGCTCTTGATCTCGCAGCCGTAGCGGCATGCATCTATAGTCGTCGCAGCTGCTTGCGCTCCCGCTTCCACTTGCGCTTCTTCCAATCTCGCTCTCGCTGTCGCCTCCCTGGACCGTCTCATCCCACGCGACGCTCTTCGCCTTCCCTTCCGTTATCGGCTGCGAGATCGTTCTCGTCTCCCTCTTCACCTTGATCACGTTTACATGATTCGGGGGGTTAGTACCACTCGTGCCGGCACCAGCACCAGCAGCACCGCAACCACTACAGCTACCCTCCGCCTCCCCACGTAACTGAGTGAGCTGAGGCAAAGGCCGTTTCACGGGCTCGTCAACGACGACCGAAGACCGCTGATACGGCGGCGGCAGCGACGTCGAGGCCGAGACCGAGACCGGAAACCTCAAGACAGGCGAAGACACAGATCGATCGCCCCCATGACATTCGATAATGCTCTCCGCGCTGCCCAGATTTTCGGAAGAACACGAGGATATCGACTCGCGTGATGGTGGCCTGGGCTGTGACGGCGGATGGGTTGCGGGAACCGGAGACCGAGTCGCCGCCGCTGCTGCTGACGGAGGAGGAGCTCGATGCGGATGAGGAAGACGTGGAGATGGTATTTCTGTTGCCATCGGTTCGTTTCTCTCTAGTTCATGGACCCGCGAAGATGGGAGTGGAGAAGAAGACACCGAAGGAGACGGAGCCGGGATGCCGCCTCCGGGCCGCGCAAACGAAGAAGCAGGCGGGAAGTGCGCGTCGAGGATAGACCGTGGCCTCGCCTCTTCTTCTCCACGATCATGGTCGGGATCGCGGCAGTTTCTCTCGGGAGGAGGAGGGGGAAGGAAGCGCATCCAGTCCGGCAGGGGCTTCGCGGGGCGGGGCCGGAAGGCCGGGGCGCGGAGCGGGTCGTGGATGGACACGTACACGGCCGAGTCGAGGGGCACGAGGCACTCGAGTTCCGCGAAGCCGCCGCCGGGGATCTTCGATCGTCGATAGTGCAATCTGGCGATGGTGTCGTTTTCGATCGCAGCCACGGTCCTTTCTTTCTCTTTACTTCTCGTCGCTCCATCGCCTTCGTCTCCAGCAGTAGCAGTAGCAGTGGCCGTGATAGCGCCAGGCGGCGATGACGACGGCGACGGCGATACGTGCGCGTCCATGGAACTGTCGCCCCCCAACTGACTCTACCACGTCGGGGCTGCTGCTATGGCGGTACTGCTGCTACTACCCCTCTCGATCTTTCGGATTTCCCGGCGCAGCCGACTCACGCCGCCGTCCGCAAGATCGATTCTGGCGAGCGCTTTCTCGACCAGCCCGTCTCCATCTCCATCTCCGTCTTTTTCCTCGGCCTCGCAGGCAACGACACAGTTAACGCACATGGGAATCTCGAGGATCTCCCTCGCCCTGCCCCTGCCCCTGCCCCCGCCCCTGCCGAAATTCATATCATCATTATAACCACCACCCCCACCATTCTCCTCCTCATCCTCATCATCATCATCTCGACAAGTCCCAAACTCGAACAACTCCTTAACCCCGGGCGCCGTGACGACGCGCCGCGCCCCGCAGAACAGACACCCGTAGCACGCGCGGTGCCAGAAGGCCCAGCCGAGACTGACGCACTCGTCCCCGCGGAAGACGACCTCGCCGCACACCCAGCAGACGGCGAGGTCGAGGACGGCGCGCAGGCAGGGCGCGCAGGCGAGCCGGGACGACGAGGAGCGGCGCCCCAGGACCGACGGCGGGCCCGGGGACATGCGCCAGCAGAAGGTGCATCTGAAGGGTCGGGACTGCTTTGATGGTGGGGATGGGGGCATGGTTTGGGGTGGCTGGACTGGAGGGGTTCGGATTCATCAGGCGGTGGATAGATGGGTTGATTGAATGGACTGAGTAACCGAATTGAACTGAATTGAACCGAATTGAACTGAACTGAACTGAATCAAATCGACCGGTCGGTTTCGATGGCTGGTTGGAGAAACGAATGATCGTGTAATGTCGGTCGTAGGTGTGTCAGCTTGTGTACGGGTGGGTGAGTTGTCGCGTGGTCGATAGGTCGGTATATGTGCAAACCGGTGATTGAGGATATACCGGGAGGAGAAAGGGGGCGATGACGAAGAGAGAAATAAGTAGGTAGAGAGATAGGGAGGGAGAGAGGTATGTGTGAATAGGTGTTTGATGGATGGGTGTATGCATGTATGTATATCTGTGTGCGTGTATTGTATATATTTGTCTGTGTTAGTAGCTGAGGCCAAATCATTCGTAGTACTATCCAAGAAAGAAGAAACAACTTACGCACATACACTTCATCATTATTACCCACCAGCAACGTGACGTGATACTCATCATACCTGCTCGAATATATATAGTTTGAGTAAGTGAGTGTCTATAATCAGGCAGGTAAGATACTAGGGAAACCTCAGTAAAGTCAGGCACGAGTTACGCATCCCTTGAAGCCTTCAAGTAAAGTTAACTGACTATAGCGCTCAGTCCCGCTTCCTCTTTCAGAGTTGTTCCTCCGTTTTGACCATCTCTACTCAACCTCCATCCAACCTCCCCTACGTATCGCCGCCGTGTCGTATAGCATGAAATGCATCACTATATCGGTAGGTACTGTTTTACCTTACCCTAGGTAAGGCAGAATAGGGGGGTCATGTAGATCTAATAAGTGAAGCAAGCGTTCACACGTACAACTGCTTCGATTCCACAAACCAAAACAGCGGCTCCCTCTACAGTTTTTCAAGAACCACGAAGGGCGAATTTTAGGTAGATTAGATTTCCAGCAGCAAAAGTCACCGGCCTCACCGGCCTCGGCCGGGACCAAGACCGAGACCGATT